AACGTCGTTTTCGAAAACACTTAGCTACTTTCGTTCGGTTTGAAAATCTCACATTTCCGTCTCACACCCAAGCTATAAAAGCTTAGCTACTCATAACGGAAAGTAAAAAATAAATGACGGAAAATAAAGACATAAATGTAAATTGCGTAAAGTAAATAACGATAAAATAAATGACGAGAATGTAAATTGCGGAAAATAAATGACGGAATGTAAATAGCGATAAAGTAAATGACGATAAAATAAATGACGGGAAATAAAAGACGAGAAAGTAAATAAAGAAAAAGATGAAGAACTTGAAGACTTAAATTAAGAACACCCTTGGAGATGGTTTACAAAAGCTAGCAAATGAGAAAAAAGATGGAAATATTAAAAAGAGAGATTAATGGATGGAAGGATGGAATTGATGGTTTAGAAGGCATCCCAAGCTCTCTATTTATACAAACAAGGGGCACTAAAAGACAAAAACTAAAAACTTGTAGGCTAAGTTTCTAAAAGTAAGTTACAAACTAACAAAAGTGTAACTAGAAAGTACAAAACCTTAACTAAAGTTTAACATCAGATTTTTCTACTAAAAATCCAGCAATTTCCAGCTGTCCTCCATCTTCAAAAAGTCAATGTCTTGTTCATTAAGCCCTCCAAAAAGTCTTGCATGAATCAGGTCGACGCTGCACGAATGCTGCAGCATTTGCTGTTTTCACAAAAACTCTCAATTAGCTTCATTTACACAAACCAACAAGTCAACCACAATATTTAGCTTCATAATAACAAAAGTATAAAGAAATAAATAAAAAGGACTCAAAGTGGGAATGAAAAGAAATTATTGTAACTAAAAAGACGTAAAAAGAGCGCTATATGTGTTAAATTCTCCACACATATCAATAAGCTTACTGAATATGCCTACCGAATAATTAAGTCACTCACAGACAGTCATGTACAACTGATTGAATAAGATTTAAGTCCCATTAAACTCATTAAAATGTTAACAAATAAGCCCTATGTCTTATCGCCATGAATCCACATCTTGTTAACCATTACCATCGTTCTCGAAAAATAGTTTATATAGATTCTCTTTATTACCATCATTCTTGATGAACTAGTTCACTGACAATAAGATTYAGACGTTTACGGGTTGAAAAGCCATCACTTTTGCTTATATTTTTTTCTAACGTTTAATACCGCCATCGAAAAAAAGTACAAACTTACACAACAATAGCAAGAGGATAAGGATATTGAGAAAGCAGAGAATATGCTTTCTACTTATTCATATGTGAATAAACACTCTATTCATAATTATATGCTAACATAAAAGCAGATCCTATCCYACGCTCAACAAACTCTAATGATTGGTAAACGTCCAACTTTGTTTAGTTAAGATCTATAAAAGGCGGTTTGTTTTCGGGATTTCAGGATTTTGGGCGTATTTAATTTGTAATTTTTAGGGTTTCTTTGATCATTCATTAAAGATGCTCGTAAATAACAAAACCCTAAACCCTAAACTCTAAAACACAAAAGATATTGCAATCCAACCCAATGGCAACAAAGTGCAACTCATGAGGCCATTTGAAGTGCATCTTGAAACGATGAAACCCTAAGCTTTTCGGCTTGAATCCTTAAACTCTAAACGCTAAACCCTAAATATAGAAATACAGGGATAGAATCGATTTTTATAAAATATGAGTCGAGGGTAATCGGTAATTACATTTTATGCACRTAGAATCCGGTTAAGCGAAATAGTGGAACAAAAACTGACGACTTTATGGAAGCGATTCACCGGTTCGGGTAAATCCGGGACCCTCCTCCATCSACACTCGCCGGAATCGGAGCTAATTTCACACACACAAGCTGGGTAATTCCGGCGATGTTCTTCATTGAATAAAAAGATAAAATTCCCAAATCCAACACATTTCAAGCTAGCGAAGTTATCATCTTCATCGCGATCGAACAAACAATTAAGCAAATCCTGAGGCATAATCGCGAATTCACTGAACTCCATTGTCGATTCATCGATTCTCCATAGATTAAACGAAGGCCCACGAGGAGCGTTGCATAATCCGGCCAATACGAGCTGATTCCGGCAAGAGATCAAGAACGATATGATCACACCCGGTGGCCGGAGTGTCTGAACTTCACTCCAAACTCGATTGTTCAAATCAAACGATGAAATGAAACATGAATATATACCAAACACGTAGAATTTCCCTCGGAATTGAGCCGATGATAACGATTGGGAAGAATTACCTGACCGGAAGTCCGCCGGCAACGGCGGCGATAGATCCCACGAATCTAAACTAGGGTTATAGATTTCAACGGCCAACCTATCTTCAATATCAACCAATCCACCGATGAATCTAACACCACCCACAACAATAATTCTAGGCAGATTCAAATTCGATTGAGACCCATTATTTGGATTCAAATTCGATGCAAACCCGTGATCGATAACACCTATAAGAGGGTTTGATCGGGAGAATCTCAAAGGAGTTGTTTCTCGCCACGAAGGTTTCAAAATTGGGGTAAAACTGAAATTATTCGCGGTGGTGTTGAAGAAGAACCCGCCGGAGCCGATGAACGACGATTCCTGCGAAATCGAAAATGGGAAAAGAGTTGGGGAGAGTTTGATCCACTCGTTTGAATCTGGATCGAATGCAAATGCTTGATTGTTCTTCATGAAAATGTTGTTCTGGCCGTAGAGGAAGAACCATGGGGTTCTTGCGGCGGCGGCGGAGGCGGAGAACGGTGGCGCGGTGGTGATTGAGTGCCAGAGCTTGCAGACGGCGGAGCAACGGATGATTGAACGGATTGGGAGGTGAGATAAGACGAGTTCAGTCAAATCGGAGCTGAGGAAACTGAAGAAATTGTGGGATGAATCGGTTTCTTTTAGGGTATTTGAATCTTCCATTGGATCGATCGATTAGTGATGGARATGGGGATTATGATCTGAGTATAAAATGGATTCGAGATCGGAAGGATTGTGGTTGAGAGAGATGAGAGTGGTTTAATGGCAGATGGGTTTCGGAGAAATCAACGAATTGGTCGACACTCTACAGTACACCACGTACTTCGTCTTATTCAATGGCCTACAATTGATTGCACCAGAAACTATAGATAAAAAGTTAACTGAYAGATAAGAAGGAAATTAATTGAAGAGGAAATTACGTTTTTAGTCCCTGTGGTTTATTGAAAATTACTATTTTTGTCCTTATGGTTTTAAAATTATGATTTTCATCTTATAATTTATAATTCGTTATTTTTTTGTCTTTGTGATTTAAAATTTATTGTTTTTTTTCTCTCGTTCTTATGGTTTATAATTAATTTATATTTTAGTCATTTATGGTTAAAAGTAGTGTTTTGCCCCTACGGACGAAAATAGAAATGAATTGTGAATCATAGTGACTAAAACCGAATTTCCAGACCACGAGGACAAAATCCGTAAATTTTAACAAACCATAAGGATGGAAAATATAATTTACTCTTAATTAAAATAGCTATTTTTAGACTTTGAATTCATTTCTTTCTCAATATTTTTGAAATCTCATTGCTTTCACAAGTAGCAACTCCTCAACTTTAGGGATCCGAGTATAAAAAAGGAAATTTATGAATCAAATATGCGGGTGCTAGGACCAAACTTGGAAATTAATCCTAACACCCCCGCAAGTGGCAGAAGTGCCCTTATCTAATTTACATATTTGATCCATACATTTGTGAACCTAGTTCAGAAACTTTTTTTTTACGTTTTGACCCTTTCGCAAATTGAGGAGGCGTCACTTGCGGACGTAGTGATATTTTTGGAATTTGGGAAGAGAAATGCCTAAGAGATGAATTCAAAGTCTGCAAATGACTATTTCTATTAATTTCCCMAATATAAAAATACCTTACGAGTTATRATAAATGTTTGATAGAGTCAAATTTATACGAGAAAAGTAACCAAATAGGAGAATTAGCAAACCCTAAAATCACATGTGATTTACACTAAAATCACATGTAGAGGTGCTTACAAACCTAACCAACCCGGTCTGGAAAAACCCAAAAAAAAAAAAAAAACTCAATCCGAGGTAACCCGACATATAGTTGATACAAAATTGAGCCAAACAACATCTATTGGGTTGGCATTGGGTTAGGATAATTTGAACCCAACCCGATGAACTCGATATCTTTCTATACTATAGCCTTAATATGATTGTTGAATTCTYGATTAATATATGTACGTTAAATATTAAACCAACTTGTTTTGTTCCAATAGAGCCTAAGGCAAAGTTAAAGTGGTTCGTATGCCTTCTTTACTAATGTAGCTATATTCAAAATTATATTACAATTTCAATCATAATTTTATATTTTTGTTTRCATGAAGCTTCAACATTTTTATGAGTTTGTTAGCCTTTTTTGTACGTTYTYRTTTTGATTTTACTTCAGTTAAATATAAACATTTAGCAAAATTGTAAAATAATGTACCAAATATTCAACTCAACCAACACGATTTGATTTGGGTTGGTTTGAACTGCAGTTTTGTGTGGGTTGGGTTGGGTTGGGTTGGGTTGGGTTGGGTCGAGATTTTTCAAACTGTAAATATAGGGTTGAGTTGTTCAAATTCTTCAACTCTATCATCCAACTCATTTGCAATCCTAATCACGTAAAATCACATGTGATTCACACAAACTTAAATCATAACATTTATTTTGATCGGGTAAAAGACAAAACAATAGATAAAAGGGTGAAAATGCCTCTCGTTTAACGGAATTCTTAATGGCCGTTGGAGGAAGGGACCAAATCAAGACTTTTTTTCAAACCACAATGATTATCTTGTAATTTGAAAACTGTATGAATGAAAAGTGTTGTTTTCAGCAAACCATAGGGACCAAATTTATAGTTAACTATTCTGACACTTCTTATTTTGGCATGATACTTAATTTTAAACTTTTTATATTTAAAATGAGATGTTTATTCTCTATATCATGTTTATCTACATTTAGTAACACAAATTCAAACATAAAGCTTTAATACGTTGTACTTATGCACAACTTACTTGTAATCTTGAATTTTAAGTATTATGCATCAATAAACAGTAGTTCATGCATAAAAAATGGTTTTGAAGAGTTTTTATCATGCATAATATAATATAGATAAGATCGTATATAGTTGATTATAAAATTACTGATTAANCAAAATTGTAAAATAATGTACCAAATATTCAACTCAACCAACACGATTTGATTTGGGTTGGTTTGAACTGCAGTTTTGTGTGGGTTGGGTTGGGTCGGGTCGAGATTTTTCAAACTGCAAATATAGGATTGAGTTGTTCAAATGTTTTCAACTCTATCATCCAACTCATAGACTTTTTTTCAAACCACAATGGTTATCTTGTAATTTTAAAACTGTATGAATGAAAAGTGTTGTTTTCAGCAAACCATAGGGACCAAATTTATAGTTAACTATTCTGACACTTCTTAGTTTGGCATGATACTTAATTTGTCTGATCTATTTATATTGACATCTTAAAAAAACTCTGGACTGTTTAAACGAGTTAACCAACGTCATTGTTCGTCGACTGTGATTTTGTTCGATCTTTCAAGTTTCGTGTATTGGTTCGACTTCAGACGTCTACATATAACTACATCTTTTGTCCTTAAGCTTATGAAAAATCGATCACACATATTTATGGCATAGCTTTTTTTTATTAACCTGAATATCTAACCCGCTATACGAGCCGACTAATCCTAGAAGGACCACCTGCAAAATAGTCCGGAGTGACCGCATTTTAAACTCCATGGCCACAAAGGGATTTTTATTCCTCTTTGGATTTGAACTTGGGACCTCCAAATACTTTTGACCTTTGGAGTCAAACTCAAACCGATCAGGCACTACCTTGTGGTTTATTTATGGCATAATTTATATCATATGTAAAAAAATTATATAAAATGTTCAGATATATTTAAATACAAAGAAATGTTTTTTTTATATTTATAAAGACTAGAAAGGTACTCGCACAATGCAGCGAAATACATCTCGATTTTAATGTTTTTTTTTGTCTCAGTCGATGTTATAAAACGATTTTATATGATTTTGAGAAAGCGATAATGTTTTCATTTTTGAATAAGATATAAATTTATCATAAAGAATTGAAAAAAATAATATTGATATTAGTATCAAATTAACTATTTAATTTTTTTAATGTATTTCTTTAATTCATTTTTTTATTTTTTTGTTTAATAATATATTTTTTATAAAAATAATAATTA